GAATCGCTCAAGATGAAACAGATTCTGAAACCTTGCAATTTACTGTGCAGCACTACAGAGATGTAAAGAGTACATTAAAACCATACTTCAGTAAAAGTTCGGATACCTTACAGTGAAAATTACTCCATTACAAATTACAAGTCACCAATTCCAAAACAACAAGTAAAAGTCTTAGAGTATCTGATTTGAACCAGTGGCGGCTCGTGGGTTTTAAAACAGAGGAGGCACACTAATTGTATTGGTGTGCGATCCCTGCCAATTATTATTATTATTATTTTCTTAACCACTTTAAAATGGCTTTTTGGTTGCTTTTAGTCAGAAAACGTAAAGAAAACGACATACATACAGCAAAATAATATAATTTCACTTACCTGGCCTATCACTTGAAGCAAACATCCATCCCTTCTTAAAAGTCTGTGTTAAAAGAGAGCTGCTTGTTGCGCCATTTAATTAAGCCGACTGCTGTAGCCTATATCCAGCTTAGGCTGTTTTCCCTAAAGAGATGTGAATTATTTATTGGCCTATTTTTGTTTTAATCCATGCAGCAAATGCTTTAAAAACAGCTTTAAAAATTACTTTATTGCATTCCAGATGATTTTAAAACTTGTTTTAGAAAAAAGAAAAAGTTACATTCATACACAGTGCATTTTTTAATAAGAGTGACAAGCACATATTATTATAACTGAAGTGAATATATAACTCAGGACACGCATCCACATTGACAGTGAACCTGTTAGTGAACAGAAACGAAAGTGAACACTCGATGCTGATTGGCAAATTTTTTTTAACCAACAGAGGCACGAGAGCTCCGCGCTCCCCTGGCCTCCCCCTATCCTTTTCTATAACCTAGCGGTTGTAATTACATCAGCAGATTCGGCACATTCGCGATAGAAAAGCGGCGCTTTCAGTGAATATATAACTCAGGACACGCATCCACATTGACAGTGAACCTGTTAGTGAACAGAAACACACTGGACAGATAAATGTGATGTGATGCAGTTATTCTGCAGTGCACACTCAAATCTTGGGTCTCATTTTTTATGTCATGTAAATTGTGACATTAAAGGGATAGTTCATTTGGTTCATAGGGCATAATTTAATCATCTTTGTGTTGTTCTAATGCTTTATATCCTTCTTTTCCCAGACCACAACGGGAGATTAAAAGAAAGAAAGAAAAATGGCAATAGATAGCACTCCGTTTTTTTTTTAAAGACGCAAAACGTGGGTTATTGCACACATAAGGATTTCATTTTTATTTTAAAGTTTAGAGCTAATCAAGGATTTGTTGATTTGGGGTTTATTTTAAGTTGAGTTGTGTTGCACTACTTAATTTTAAATACAGATGAACAAATCTAGGGTTAGAATTGAATTCTAACCTGCGATTAAAACCTGCATCGATTCATTTTATCCGTCATGATGGATTCACTATTTTAATTAAACAGAATCAATGATAATGTTCCATTTCTTCTTTATTGACTAGCAGAAACTCTCTCTGACATAAGCAGCTCTTGTCGATAAAGGAACTAAACTTGTAAAATGTCAGGCGTCTTTATAAACGGCTGCGTAGAGAGCGTTAGATTACAGATGATCAAGCAGGAAAAAAATGTGAAAAGTGAATAGAGAAAAAAAAATAATAATAATTTAACATCCTCTTTAACCCCTGATGGCTGACCCCAGACAGTAACGCATTTTTTTTTAAATAATTTTCTTCAAACACATGTAATATTGCTCACTTTTTAGTTAGGTAATTTCATCTACATTTTTGTTTCTTTTTTTTTTTATAATTCATTACATAATTTACATTCATGGAAAAATTGCCATGCTTCAGTGGAAGTGCAATTTTCAGCAAAAGGTGGCTTGTTTGTATCCTTGTTAATCTCAGGTCTTCTCAAATGTAAATCAAACAACCACAAACATATCATGACTTTTTTACTCCAACTCGACCAGGAAAAGCGCAAAGGTTATGAAAAAACAACAACAACAAAAAAAACTATATTGTTTTGTAACACATTTACAAAGTAATTCTTTCCTCTGAACTGCTGTTTCAGTCACTTCATATTTTTGTTTTTCTTCACAGATTTACCCAGATCTTCACTGACTGCGACTCCAAACAGTCCCGTATTCACTGGAGAGAGAGTGAGTCTGAAGTGTGAGATAAACTCTGATCACAGTAACTGGAGATATGAGTGGTATAAAGACAGCACTAAAGTGTCTGAGCGTCACACTGTAAACACTCTCACTATTGAACGATCTGAAACATCTGATGCGGGTCGGTACACGTGTAGAGGACACATAGATGGAAGATCAGTCTCATCACACTCAAGCTCTGTTTATCTCTCAGTGAAGGGTGAATTTAATATCATTGTCCTCCTAAATAAGCATATTTTACTATATTGAAAGTGTATGATTCTCCTAAATTATGTAAATGTTGTACACTATGAAATTGTGTAATATGTGAATTAAAGAACATAAATGTTGACTGAATATAAAAATCAGTGTTTAATTTAGTTGTTACACATAATTGGAAATATTTGTATTAATCAACACCAACTACAACCAAACCAGATATTTAATTTAGTGCAGTATTTTTCTCATAAGGATATTTTGAGTTCATAACAGTGATCATGATACTGTAATGCTGTTTCAATCAATATTTACTCATATGTGTATTAATACATCGAGAGCAAAACCTGTAGTGAAGGTGAGGCCGGATCAGATCAGTGTGTGTTCAGAGCAGAGACAGTCACTCTCTTTACTTTTACTTTAGTCTCTGTCACTATGATTACAGGCAGGGCTTGACATTAATGCTTTTGCTCTGCAGTCAGTGTGGCTAGTGGTTTTCCAAAATTACTAGCAACTCAGCTTTTTCACTGGCCTCAATTTTGTTGGGAAATTACATTTTATATGATTCAAGCTGACTATTGCATAGTAACATTTACTTAAATTAATTTCCAGGTAATTTTTGCCTAAATCAGTGCTTTTCAAAGTCCGGACCCGGAGGGAATTCAATCCGGACCCGCCTCCATTTCGTATTTCAAGAGCACTAATTATATTTCCTACTTTGATAAACAAATGTTAAACTTGAAAAATCTTTTTTTTTGTCTTTTTGGAGATGGTCCGAAAAAAAATTTTTTTTTTGTCTTTTTGGAGATGGTCCGAAATGAAAGCGAAGGCAAGATACTTTTTCAAGATGAACTTTTCCTTCTTGACATTTGCTGTCATGACATCCAGTGATCGTATGATGTTTGACATGTTCGGGCGACATTTCACCGCTAATATTATTTTTTTTAATCACTCAAGGCTTGTTCACACTGGGACGAATATCGCGCGTGATTATCGCCGACATTTAACGCCTCAATGTGAGTGTGCACACCGACGCGCAAAACGCGAGGCGTAAATTCAGGGAGTGAATTTGCACGTTCACTCGGCTCATTGCCTGTGAAAATCGCTTGGGTATGAACACAAAAGACGCGTCAAAAAACGTCGACGATAAGTGCGCGCGATAATCGTCCCAGTGTGTACGAGGCTTTAGATTATGGCCATTTGACTTCTAGCAGTGTCCAGTGTTTCCCATACATTGAGTTATTTGTGGCGGCCTGTCAATATTAAAACTGAATGCCACAAATAGATTTTCCAAAAAGTTTATACTTTATACTAGTTGAATAAACTGAGCACTGCACATTTCAGAATTAAAATGCAGCGCGGGTGTTTTTATATGAACGTATCTTTGAAAAGAACCGACCGTCTTCAGAAAAGCTTTGATGTCATATTCATTTCGTCTTTCCTGTAATGCCTGATAAAGTAGCGCTTATTTGATTACAGCTGTTACCGTGGAAACCGCTATATTTTCCGCTCCAACAGCGCCTCTGCTGGCAGAGAATGAATTTGCATTTGCAAGTTTGTGGGAAACACTGGTGTCTGTCAACAAGCATAAACAAAAAACATGCTTCAGAACTGTTTTGAGAAGGTGCTTAAGTTTTGGGCCATGTATTATTACTATGAATTAGGCTACTACTAGGGATGCACCGAAATTAAAATTCTTGGCCGAAGCCGAACAAAATGAAACACTGGGCCGAAGGCCGAATACGGTTTTTCGAGTTTTTTTCCCCATGTATTTTGCCTTTTTTTTTTCACCATTGCATAGGCCTAAATAAAATGTGCTTTTTACTGTTTTGTCTTGCTTTTCAAAGAAAAAAATCTATTACAAAACAACAATTTAAAAATATTTAACACTGAACATTTTTTACATTCTAGCAGACACTATACCAACAAAGCACAATTTAACTTAAAATTAATAAGTTAGTAAAATAATATTTTTTGGCCATCAGACCCCCTTCTTGAAACAGGCATGTATTTTTTACTGTACAATTAAAAGCAGCCTTGCTGAGAAGAGACTTCTTTTAAAACATTAGAAAATATTACAGATCCTAATTTGAACACTATGTGTGAATGTTATAATAAATGTATTAAAACAGAGCTGTTGTAATTACACATTCTGAGACATGAACTGAAATTAATTGTGAATTTTATTAACATTAAATCGTCCTCCCATTTTCACCTCATAATTATGGGGAGGCTGTGCCTGATTACTTCTTTCATGTGAAACAGAACACATGTAATGGCTAAAACACATATTCTGCTACATTGCTTTTATCTGAGCTCATCGTGTTTAATTCAGTGAACTCAATTAAAGAAAACCAACTTTGCATAAAATGTTACTGCATAGTATGTATAAATTTGCAAACTTAGCATAAAAGTCTGTTTCACTACTAGTTATATTGAAGGTTTATTGCATGTATAAAATTATTCAAATGTTGTAAATGTTGTGCAAGTTGCTATTGTGTGATATGTGAATACACAAAAACATACATGTATAGACAGAATATAAATATCAGTGTTTCATTTTGTTTTTACAAACATTTTTGATGTAGTCAACACAAACTACAAGCAAATCAGATATTAAATTGAATGCAGTGTTTTGTGAGTTAGTAGCAGTAATCATGATACTGCGATGCTTTTTCAACCAGCATCTTCTTCTATGTTTATCAGTAAAAGCTGTAGTGAAGGTGACTCCAGATCAGCGTGTGTTCAGAGGAGAGACAGTCACTCTCACATGTGACATACAGAGAGCAGGAAACATTCAGTGGACATACAGCTGGTTTAAAGATGCTTCAGTCATCAGAGACGTCACTGAGAGAGTCTACAGCATCACATCTGATGAGTCTTACAGTGGTGGATACAGCTGTAGAGGAGAGAGATCAGACTCACAGAGATCAGACATCAGTGCTGCTGTTACACTGACTGTATCAGGTGAGTCTTCAGATTCACATCTGTTTTAATGTTCATTTAACAGTATTTGTGGCTCAACACTTTTCTTATATTCTTCCGTATCAGCCACATCTGTTCTTATTAAAGCCTGAAGCAATTCAAGATTACAGATGATCAAGCAGGAAAAAAATGTGAAAAGTGAATAGAGAAAAAAAAATAATAATAATTTAACATCCTCTTTAACCCCTGATGGCTGACCCCAGACAGTAACGCATTTTTTTTTAAATAATTTTCTTCAAACACATGTAATATTGCTCACTTTTTAGTTAGGTAATTTCATCTACATTTTTGTTTCTTTTTTTTTTTATAATTCATTACATAATTTACATTCATGGAAAAATTGCCATGCTTCAGTGGAAGTGCAATTTTCAGCAAAAGGTGGCTTGTTTGTATCCTTGTTAATCTCAGGTCTTCTCAAATGTAAATCAAACAACCACAAACATATCATGACTTTTTTACTCCAACTCGACCAGGAAAAGCGCAAAGGTTATGAAAAAACAACAACAACAAAAAAAACTATATTGTTTTGTAACACATTTACAAAGTAATTCTTTCCTCTGAACTGCTGTTTCAGTCACTTCATATTTTTGTTTTTCTTCACAGATTTACCCAGATCTTCACTGACTGCGACTCCAAACAGTCCCGTATTCACTGGAGAGAGAGTGAGTCTGAAGTGTGAGATAAACTCTGATCACAGTAACTGGAGATATGAGTGGTATAAAGACAGCACTAAAGTGTCTGAGCGTCACACTGTAAACACTCTCACTATTGAACGATCTGAATCATCTGATGCGGGTCGGTACACGTGTAGAGGACACATAGATGGAAGATCAGTCTCATCACACTCAAGCTCTGTTTATCTCTCAGTGAAGGGTGAATTTAATATCATTGTCCTCCTAAATAAGCATATTTTACTATATTGAAAGTGTATGATTCTCCTAAATTATGTAAATGTTGTACACTGTGAAATTGTGTAATATGTGAATTAAAGAACATAAATGTTGACTGAATATAAAAATCAGTGTTTAATTTAGTTGTTACACATAATTGGAAATATTTGTATTAATCAACACCAACTACAACCAAACCAGATATTTAATTTAGTGCAGTATTTTTCTCATAAGGATATTTTGAGTTCATAACAGTGATCATGATACTGTAATGCTGTTTCAATCAATATTTACTCATATGTGTATTAATACATCGAGAGCAAAACCTGTAGTGAAGGTGAGGCCGGATCAGATCAGTGTGTGTTCAGAGCAGAGACAGTCACTCTCTTTACTTTTACTTTAGTCTCTGTCACTATGATTACAGGCAGGGCTTGACATTAATGCTTTTGCTCTGCAGTCAGTGTGGCTAGTGCTTTTCCAAAATTACTAGCAACTCAGCTTTTTCACTGGCCGCAACTTTGTTGGGAAATTACATTTTATATGATTCAAGCTGACTATTGCATAGTAACATTTACTTAAATTAATTTCCAGGTAATTTTTGCCTAAATCAGTGCTTTTCAAAGTCCGGACCCGGAGGGAATTCAATCCGGACCCGCCTCCATTTCGTATTTCAAGAGCAATAATTATATTTCCTACTTTGATAAATGCATGTTAAACTTGTAAATCATTAGTTTAGTTTTTTAATGTCTTTTTTGGAGATGGTCTGAAATGAAAGTGAAGGCGAGGTATTTAAAGTTTTCCTGCGTGACATTGTTGTCATGACATCCAGTGAGCGTCTGACAGCCTAATCGGGCGACACTTCACCGCTAATATGAGATTTTTTTATTATTACTTAGATTATGCCGGCCATTTGACTTCTAGCAGTGTCCAAGTGTTTCCCATACATTGAGTTATATCAAAACTATCAAAAAGCTTCGATGTCATTTTCATTTCATCTTTCCTGTAATGCCTGATAAAGTAGCGTTTGTGAGCGCAGTGCTTATTAGATTACAGCCGTTACTGGGGAAACCGCTATATCTCCCACTCCAACAGCACCTCCTGGTGGCAGAGAATGAATTAGCATTTGCAAGTCTGTGGGAAACACTGGTGAAGTAATGTGTCTGAGCATAACACTGGAAACACTCTCACTATTGAACGATCTGAAACATCTGATGTGGGTTGGTACACGTGTAAAGGACACATAGATGGAAGATCAGTCTCATCACACTCCAGCTCTGATGTTTATCTCTCAGTGAAGGGTGAGTTGAATATCATTGTCCTTCTAAATAAACCTATTTGACATTATTGAAAGTTTATGATTCTCCTAAATTATGTAAATGTTGTACACTGTGAAATTGTGTAATATGTGAATTAAAGAACATAGATGTTGACTGAATATACAAATCAGTGTTTCATTTAGTTGTTACACATAATTGGAAATATTTTTATTAATCAACACCAACTACAAGCAAACCAGATATTTAATTTAGTGCAGTATTTTTCTCATAATGATATTTTGAGTTCATAACAGTGATCATGATACTGTAATGCTGTTTCAATCAATATTTACTCATATGTGTATTAATACATCGAGAGCAAAACCTGTAGTGAAGGTGAGGCCGGATCAGATCAGTGTGTGTTCAGAGCAGAGACAGTCACTCTCTTTACTTTTACTTTAGTCTCTGTCACTATGATTACAGGCAGGGCTTGACATTAATGCTTTTGCTCTGCAGTCAGTGTGGCTAGTGCTTTTCCAAAATTACTAGCAACTCAGCTTTTTCACTGGCCGCAACTTTGTTGGGAAATTACATTTTATATGATTCAAGCTGACTATTGCATAGTAACATTTACTTAAATTAATTTCCAGGTAATTTTTGCCTAAATCAGTGCTTCTCAAAGTCCGGACCCGGAGGGAATTCAATCCGGACCCGCCTCCATTTCGTATTTCAAGAGCACTAATTTCCTACTTTGATGAACTGTTAAACTTGTAAATCATTTGTTTAGTTTTTTTTTGTTAATGTCTTTTTGGAGATGGTCTGAAATGAAAGTGAAGGCGAGGTATTTAAAGTTTTCCTGCGTGACATTGTTGTCATGACATCCAGTGAGCGTCTGACAGCCTAATCGGGCGACACTTCACCGCTAATATGAGATTTTTTTATTATTACTTAGATTATGCCGGCCATTTGACTTCTAGCAGTGTCCAAGTGTTTCCCATACATTGAGTTATTTGTGGCGGCCCGTCACTATATCAAAACTATATAGGGGGGAATTGGCCAAAAACATCAGCATCATATATCAGCCATCAGCTGCCCTGATTTCTAAATATCAGCATCGGCCAGAGAAAAACCCATGTTAGTCAACATCTATTGCTGATACTTGAACTGTTTTGCCATTCTTGCAATTGTTATTAATTGTACAGTATTTTGAATGCAAAGGACACTTTATTTTTATTATTTTTTTTAATTAGTGTTTATTTGTTATGTATGTTTATTAAAAACAAGTTTTGTAATAACCGATTGTTTCGGTCCGGACCTTTGACACTGATGAAAATTCATATTTGGACCTTTGAATGTAGACTTTGAGAACCCCTGGCCTAAATAAAGGGCAGTTTCCCCCCCTAACCTTATTAAATGTATGCATCATCTTTCATGTCAAATTCTTACAGTTTATTAATAATTATAATTATAATGTCTAAAAAAGTTTAGGCAGATTTAATTTAGCATGAAATATGGTAATGGCTCATCAAATGTGGTGAATCCAGAAGGTCACACATTGAAGCTTCCTTGTTTATTAATGATAACTCATTTAAAAATACAATTCATTACATCATAAAATTCAGTAATTAAAATAGTTTAAATGTATGTAGTGAGAGACAGAGTGAAATCATATGGGTCTAATATAATTCTGTATTTGTAACTAAGCAGAATCATGAATATTTCTGTTCTGGTGTCTCTATTGCTCTCTGCATGAGGCTCTTATTCAAGTCCATTCCTGATCTAACACCACATTTAGGTGTTTGTCTGAGCATTTGTCTGTTAGAACGGATCTCCATGTGTGAAATAAGTGAAATACTGAATAATAAAAATGAATAAATGATTATTTGGTTAAATGGAACAATGAAATGATCAATGATTATGATTACACATTAATAAAAAACAAAGAAAATAATAACACAGATGTATAATGCACGCTCTCTTGATACAAAACACAGAGGTTGCTATCCACCTTATTTTTCAACGCGGAAGTAAACCGTTTTCTGTGAATGTGCGAGACTTCCAGTTCATTAGCCGCTGTAGGGAAATAACGAGAAGAATAAAAGCATGCAGTAAACAGTAAAACTGTTTGCACTACAAACCAGCAGGGATGGGCAGTATTTCAAATACTTGTATTTAAAATAAGTATTTGAAATACAAAATACTTGTATTTTGTATTTTAAAGCCTTTGGCAAAAATCTAATGTGATTTGTATTTAAATGCATTTAAGATGAGCATTTTTATATTTTCAGAATATATAAAATACTTTGCGCCAGTCAACCTCTTTATCAGGGTGCTGATTTAGTTCAGACACACCCCCTCCCCCCAACCCCAACATTCATCACGTGAGCTGCTGACAGTACACAAATAAAACAGAACCAATATTATGAAATGACATAAAATAATGATTTGTAGTTTTATAACATATTTACAAAGTATTTTTCCCTGAAAGAGCTATTTGAGTCACTTCATATTTTTGTCTTTCTTCACAGATTCACCCAGATCTACACTGACTGTGAGACCAGACAGTCCTGTATTCACTGGAGAGACAGTCAATCTGAAGTGTGTGATTGAGTCTCACAGTGACTGGAGATGGAGAAATGATGGGTCTTATGGCTGGAGAGCTGAGTGGACACCTGACTGGAGATATGAGTGGTATAAAGGCACAGACAGTGTAATGTTACAGACGTCTGAGCGTTACACTGTAAACAGAGACACTCTCACTATCAGAGGAGTAACTACATCTGATCAGGATCAGTACTGGTGTAAAGGACAGAGAGATGAAAGACCAAAATCATCACACTCAAGCTCTGTTTCTCTCAATGTGACGGGTGAGTCAAATATCATTGACCTCATAAACTCACTCTAATATGATCACGTCCAATTGAGCGACTGTGATGTTGATCAAAATGGAAAACTCTCTTACTGCTTACCAAATTCAGCTCAGTATAAACTTTATTCTGCCTATTTCTTCGTGAAACAAATCACATTATACAACAATACTGTCACATGACCTCATTACATTGCACATTTATTTTACCACACTTTTTACACTCTTAAATTATGTAAATTGCTTACTGGTAACAGATTACAGGTAACAGTAAATGCAGACAAATGCATTATGTTGTATGAATCGGTCATATTTTAATCATGAACAAAAAGTCTGTAAAAGTGTTGTGTAACTTAACGTACATCTTTGGGCTTAACTGAAATTAGCAAGTAACCAACAATTTCCTGTTTACCTCCCTTTGTAGGCTATGACTGAGCACATTACAGTGAGGATCACCATCCATCTTAATATTTGTTTTTAGGCAACTCAGGTTATTAAAGGGTTATGAGGCTGTTATATATGAAATGTCTTTGCTTGTGTGTGTGTTGTTTACAAGTAAATTTAAGTTTAATATATATATATTTTTTTTTTACAGGCACAAGCTTGTGAGTCTGAGACTGGATGAAGGGTGAGTTTTGCATTTCTGTACTAAATAAATAATATAAACTATATCTTAAGATAAGTCAATATTTGAACCACTTTAAAGTTTTTTTATTTTATTTTTTACAGGCCTTGTTTGTGAGTCTGAGACTGGATGAGGGGTAAGTTTTGCATTTCTGTACAAAATAAAGAATATAAACTATATCTTAAGATAAGTCAATATTTGAACCACTTTAAAGTTGTTGTTTTTTTCCCCCTTACATATGTTTTTCTCTTTTTATAGGCAAACATTTGACTGTGAGTCTGAGACTTGATGAAGGGTAAGTTTTGCATTTATATACTAAATAAAGAATATAAACCATATCTTATTAAGATAAGCCAACATTTCAATGACTTCTGATTTTTCCCCCTACATTTCTATCATTAGATCATTAGACAGCTGAGTTCGATCGGTGTCCGGGTCATAGGGTGGAAGATGTAGGAGCGAGGAAACGATTTCGCTGCGATTGGAGATGCAGATCCACCGGTCAGTGTGGTTTGGCCTATTAAACGGATAGTTCACCCAAAAATGAAAATTCTGTCATTAATTACTCACTCTCATGTCGTTCCACACCTGTAAGACCTTTGTTCATCTTCAGAACACAAACAAAAATATTTTTGATGAAATCCGAGGGCTTTCTGTTCCCCCATTGGCAGCAACGCAACTAAAACATTCAAGGTCCAGAACGGTAGGAAAGACATCATTAAAGTAATCCATGTGACTCCT